TATTTCTGTTTGGTGCTGCCATCACCACTCTTGCAGTCACCTCAGAATCATCTCTGAATCTTCTTCTCACTCCACAAGTCTAGCCAATCACCAAGTCCTATAATTCTTCCCCTGTGGTTCTGCTCTCGTGTTACCCTTATTCTCCATCTCCACTGCCACTGTGCTATTTCAGGCCCTTAGAACATCTGGATTGGACAATGGCAACAGCTTCTTAACCATTTCTTCTCTCTGCTATTTCTCCTTCTCTCCAATTCATTGGGTGCCTGTAGTGGATTGAATTATGTCCCCCCTAAGCTCACTGAAGCTTGAATTGTGTCCCCCAAGTTTTATGTATTAGAAACTTAGCCCCCACTGTGACTGTTAAGAGGGTGTGAAATCCTATTCTGATAATTGAAAGGTGGAGCCTTGAAGAGATGATTGGATCGTAGGATCATGCCGTAGTGAATGCATTAAAAATGGCCGTCAGGGGCGTGGTTCTGAGAGATTTTAAAGAAGAGGAGAGTCGGGCTCTCTTACTCTCTCGGCTGTCCCTGCTTCCACTATCTTGCAATGTGAGACCCCTGGGTCACTGTCACCACCGAGACCTTAACCAGCTGTGTTCCCTGGACTTTGGACTTCCCAGCCTCAGAAACTGTAAGCAATAAATTTCATTTTTTTAATAAATTGTCTAGTTTCAGGTATTTTGTTATAAGCAACATAAATGGATTAATACAGTACCCAAGGTAACTTTTCTAAATCTCAGCCCAGACTAGTAACACCCCTGCTGAGAATCTGCTAATGGCTTCCCTATGCCTTTATAGGACAAACCATGAATCTTTTAGCCACACATTTAAGTGTTCATCTGTGAACAGGCTACAGATCACCTTTAACAGCCTAATATCCCACTACATCTTCCCCCACAAGGATCTTGTGCTCTAACCAAAGCGGGCTGTACACTGATGATCTCTGGTGACACCAAGGACATTTCTTCTCTGTCCCTCTGCCTATGCTAGTCCCTCCCTCCTATCCCCACCTCTCAGCTCCTATTAAAATACTGCCCATCCTTCACACCCAGATCTAACTTCTCCATGAAGCCCTCCCTAATACCCCAGCTAGAATAAATCTCATCATCCTTAGAATTTCTATAGTACCATAAGTACAGTTCTCAGGAAAAACAGGCATTATTTCCATGACAGCTGTTTATGTGCATATCCTATACCTCCTGCCAGACTAGAGACTTTAGTTCCCACCCATCATTACCCCTCTAGCACCAGTTCCACAGCATAGAACATGTTTTCCTTCTCAAGGCCTCAGTTTCCATATCTATAATATGAACATAGCTCATCCTAACTCAATGGAATATAAAGAGGATTAAACAAGATATATACGCAAATTATCACTACACAGTACACAGTTACCAAATCCAAAACTCCATTCTTCCATTTCAAGTACAATAGCAGAATACTTGTTGAACAGATAAAACCCTGCATGCTTTATAGTTTGCAAAGAAATGTTACTATATTTTTCAACGAAGGAGAGGAACAAATGAGTAAAGAATGACTAAATATGTAAGAGACATGAGTAGCTCAGCCTAACTGGTATGAAAAACTCATACTGGGGGTGGGGGACTAGATTATAAAAGAGCTAGAATGTTTGGCCTGATAGCTTCACCAAGTTTTAAGCTCCAAAGTGGGGCAGTGTTTTGAGTCTATCAATCTGCATGATGAATGAAGGATAAAAGAACAAGATATAACTAAAAGACTGCTACAGTGGTCCAGGAAAGCAGGCACAAACGCCTGGCTGTGGCTGGCGGCAGCCACAAAGGAGCAGGAGAGGAATGGTTGAATTTGCAAGCCATGTTCAAGGGAAAACATGGCAGTGTTGGTGAGCGCAGACAGATTAAATGACTGGAGAACTCTTATCAAGCTAAGTCATAGAGAACTCGAAGCCTAGATAATTAGAATAGAAGAACACCTAGGAAAACAGAGGGGTTTTTGAAAGGTGGGGAGGGTGTAGGGGGAGCAACATATGTAGGAAGAGTTTAATTTTTTTAGTTTGAGGTGGTACACAGGCAGAAATGAGGAATTAGTGCTTGCTAGGAAGAACTGAGAAGCCACTTTAGAGACAGACAATAATCCTTCTGTACATGAGGGCCTACAAGGATTGACTGAACAAGAGACATGTAGGACTAGAGTTTCCCACATGCTGACTCCCCATGAGTTCTCTGGGGGACAAGGGATGTGTGCCTACCCACCAGACATAGCCTGACTGGAAGGAGGTGACTTCTAGGCTGCCTTTCCTTCCTTACACTGACAAGGAATAGGATTGCAAAAGGGGGTCCTAAAATTGTTTTATATGAAAAGAGAAATTCAGAGAGTTGATGCCTTCTGCACATTAAGAGTTAGCTTGTCTCAAGAGGATAAAGTATATTTACAGCCTAAAGTCTAGTCTGGCATTAGGGTCCAAAATTTATTAGCCAGGTGGCCTTGGGTTAGTCATTTAAACTCTCTGGGTCTCAGGTGTTTTATCTGTTAAGTACAATAACAGTATCTCATGTGCCAGAAAGGACCAGAAGATTTCAGGAGGTGTCTCAGCTCTGTGATCTAAGAGTCAGTACTTAATCTAAATCCTATAGGTCAGACCTTACTCTCTCTGAATCCCTGGACTGTGACTCACCGCAGAAGCCTACATAATGTGGAGATGAGGAGAAACCTGGCAAAAGCACAGAGTTTAGAGTGGAGCAGAAATTCCAACTGTCAGGTCCCAGTCACAAGAAGATACAGCTAGAATATTAAACCTGGCCTGGGGACAGAAGATAATTAATCTTCAAGGCAATAAAAATATTTAATTCATTCATTTGAGAGAAATGACAGTAGAGAAGATAGATATTTGCTTTTTCCCTCCCTGTTCTCACAAGTTTGCTCTGGATAGATCGCAGAACATTTAATGAACATTTAATATAAGAGCCTGAGATGCAAACAAGTAAATGATGAGAGGCCTGGGCAGCGAGCCGTGGAAGGTGACGTTGTAGAGGCTGCAGCCAGGACAGACATTTCCAGTGCAAAGCATTGGGAAGAGAAGCTTGTTTGCAATCATTCAGGTGGCAGCAGAAGTGAAAAGATGGGGATAGATATGAGGGAAATTGCTGGGTTTGTGAAATCACAGGATTTGGTAATTGAATAGATAGGTATGAAAAGAAGAAAGAGGCACACTGAAGCTGCCTGAGCTTCCTAACCAGCATCAGAAATGGGGAGTCACCAAAGTAGGCGAGAGGGCACCTGTGGCAAGAGAGGGAAAGGGGAGTCTCCATGTCCTGCAGATGGTCTTAAGGGGCAAGATAACAGCCATCAGCAGTGGACACTACAGTCCCTCCTTTACCTCTCAGCCTTGTAGGCCTTGAAGGCATGACCACAAGCACCAGATCAGCTGGCCCACATCTGCTCTGTGCCCAGAATAGAGGAGTGGTTATCTAGGGCCAGGGGAGTATATTCAGAAAAGTATTCAGGGGTTGGGATAGTAGCAGAGCTAGGAAAGAGGAAAAAAAGTAATAAGTTCACTGCCTTACACACTATAGTGATTTTTTGTCTCATATACTTCTTTACAGAAATGCATTTCTAAGGCTGGAACCAGGAGCATGAGCCACTGCCTGAGGCAGAGTCCTCAAGGAGAAGAGTCTGGGTTCTCCAAGCTACCTTTCGCAGCAGCTAAAGTGACTGGCTGAGGACTAAGAGCCACTCTTAAGATAAGTGTCCATGACTATAGAGACTGTGACCAGGGGTGGACAAGTTCGGGAAAGACTATCCAGATGGCTTTCGCCATACCAAACTGAACTTTGCTGGGGCATTCCACTGTAAACGCAGCCTGTCTTTCACTTTCCTTTATGTAATCCCTCCAGGAAGACAGGTGACTCTTGACAACCTTCAAATTACAATATCTCTCCAGCTTCTCTCTGTCTATTCCAATCATTTCAATGAACTGTTCAGATGTCTACATACAAGTCCTAGTTTGACCCCAAAATGATTTATACATGGAAATTTCTATGAATGTGTCAGCCTCTGAGTGGAAACCCACCTAGGTTTCAAGAAGCACTTCTTTCCTTCTCTCCCTTTCTTTCTTTTAGTAAATACCAACTAGAGGCAAGGCCTACCAATCTGTAAGTGGATATAACCATCCAAGACCAGGGAAATTGTTTGGGGGCATTAAAAAAAACCACCTGCTCTGACCAAAAATACAATCCAATCTAATACAACACAACACAATACAATACAGGAACCTCTGCTTGAGGATGACTGGATCCGTTCTGGCTGCCTGACTTCCAGGGTCATCAAAGCCCGATTTTCACAGCCAAAACATCCCACAACTATTCTAATGGGCATGTTTGTCTGTTCATTCCACTTCGCTCAAGCCAGAGGCTACTTGACATTTGAATTATCAACTGTCTTCCAAAACATGTTAACCTTGAAATTGTTCGAATTGTTGGTTCATTTGATTAGCAAACCTTGGTACATTTATCAGAAAATAGGTACACATTTCTGCATTTCAGTTGTAACATCAATGTTTGGTCCAAAGACAGCATCCCTCATATTGAATTGAGACCATCCAAAAGATCCAGGGAAAATTATTAAGGAAATTGTTTTTATTCCATCCTGTGATTTCCCCTCAAAAGGGGAAGATGCTGTACAAATTTAAAATGTCTAACAAAAGTTGTCTTTAAAGCAAATTTCAAAAAATTTAAGTACAATTTACTGAAAACAATTTTTAGTCAAAATGAGCCCAGGGCCGAGCCCGTGGCACACTCGGGAGAGTGCAGCACTGGGAGTGCGGGAGTGCTCCCGCCGCGGGTTTGGATCCTATATAGGGATGACCTTGGATCCTATATAGGGATGACCGGTGCGCTCACAGCGCTCACTGGCTGAGCACGGTGCTGCCGGTCTCAAAAAGGACAAAAAAAAAGAAAAAGAGCCCAATTTTCTCACAGAATAACATGAAAACACAATGGCCTGGGTTCCTGCCACACTCACCTTTCTTGACTGTGAGAATTTCAGCCTTTGCTCTGAAGCGAGACCCATTCTTATCAAGTGTTCTTGGGGAGGCACCAGCCCTGCTGAACAACCAGCACTGGCCTGATCTGGCTTGGCCTATGGAAGGAGGAGGATACAGTTGTCTGGCAGTGACCCAAGTGACCTCAGAATTCAAGGTTAGCAGGACCTAGGCCTTCTTTCCTAATGAGTAATTTACAGGTGGAGACCATTGGGTATCTCTCAGTTCACATGACAGGAGTTAGAAAAAAGACAACAGCAGTGAAAACCTAAAGGAGGAACTGGAGCCCCATTTGTAATGAGTACAAGTGCATAATGTGATTATAACAGCACTGGGCTGGCCTATGTTCTAGCTCTCTCCTCTCTGTACCTTAGCCCATTCATGTATAAAATAAGGAGTTTGGATGAGCAGATCCTTAGGGTCCCAGTTAGCCTTGACATTCCGAGATAGATTCTAGCCCTGGGTTACAGTAGAGGTCTCCAGCCTCTACAAGGCTGCTCTGAGACCAGCATGGGCAGGCCACCAGCATCTTCCCTCATTTCTACCTGTCTTGACCCAATTCATTACTCAAAGTCTAGTGCAAATACCACTGCCTTCAAGAGACTTCCCATGAGCCTTCTGGCATAATCATTCACTCCTCCCTCTAGGAGCTCTCAATTTGTCTTGGTGCTCAGCACTAAGACTTCCTGAGATGGATGCTATATAATTGAGGGGCGGTGGGGAAGAAAAACAGGAGAGAGGCAAACTGAAACATTACTGACCCTTTCCTTGTCTCTACAGAACTTGGAAATACAGTTTCAGCCTCCTGACAAAACCAGCTTTGGAAAGCCAAAAGACTTACTCCATGGTTTGGAATACCAGTGGCTAAGAGAGATTCAGTCTGAAACAGTCTTGCTTTTTTATTGAGAAAAAGCTATTCTTGAGCTGGCAGGTATAAAAGCTTTGTGGTCTGTAGAGAAACAGGAGGCAAAATGGCCACAGGAACAATCACCTGCAAAGCGGGGGGCGGGAGGGAAGGATGCTGCAGCACAGAGTAAGTGGGGGTGGGGTGCTCAGTAGCTTAGGCTATAGGAGACAGTGCCATGCTGTGGCCACCTGCCGCCTCTGCGCTGCCTTCCGCAGCCTCTGCAGGTACAGGAGGCTTGTTTCCTGACCCAGTTTTCTTCTCAATCTCTATTTAGCTGTTCGCTAGTGATGCTCCTGGCATGCCAATCAGATACTGCAGCCGGCAGTGCAGTTTGTTACAACAAATTCACGGTTCCTAGTAAATTCAGTGGAAAAGTACTGTGTCAAGCAGCCTAATTAAACTGATGTAATTTCCACAGCCATACACTTTTAAAAAAAAAAAAAAAAGAACACTCAGGGAAAAAAGAAAGAATGTCTTTTGGATTTTATGAAATAGATTGTGGTTGCAATGCATTTAAAGAATGATTCTGTTCAGTGTCCTTGGAGCCAAAGCTGTTCAAGTCTTGAGCCCTAGGTGAGACTTTGGACTGTACTAGAAAGAGCAATGGACAACAAGTCTGCAGGTCCCTCTACCCCTTGCTCATTCTGTGACCTTGGGCAAGCTATTTTTAGTCTCTCAGGGAAAAGGGAGAATATCAAACTAGACTGTCATTAAAATATCCTGTGAGTTTCTCTTTTATTTTCCAGACTGCCAAATTGTCAAACTTATGACAAAAAATCATGTACTTTCATCTGGCTAGTCAAATGAGAACTGAACTAGAGGGCCTCCATTCTGGTCCCAGTTCTGCTACTAGCTAATTGTGATCCTGGGCAAACCAAATGAGCCCTAGAGACTTCAATGTCTTCATCTACAAAATGAGGATGATGAACTGGAAGAACTCTAAGGTCCCTTCCAATGCTAATGTTATGTTCCATTCCATGAAAGATTAAATTGGTCAGCACTACCATAGACAGGACAGTTCCAAATGTCACCAGCCTGGTGCACTTCAATTTGCCTACTCTTCCCTTGATGTTCCCACTGTGTTTAAAGATTTCCTATTCAAAAATTGCAAGACAAATACTTGCCTCTTATTCCTTTTATTTATTCCTTTTTATTCCTGGACATTGATCAGACAGATGATAAAGGTAGGGTTAACTAAAAGGAGAAGGATCTCAGGGAAGATGCAGTGGGGGCAGCAGGAAGGGTAAACAGAACCACCTGGGAAACAGGTTTCTCTTCTGACAGCAAAAAGGACACGTAGGAGTAGCAAGACAGACATATGTAAGAATGAGACAAAACAGCACGCATCCTCTTAACTGTATGGACAGCTAATCAGCTATTAGTCCTAAAAATTCCACCTGTCTGATATTCTGAATCCATTTACTTTTCTCCATTATTGCTGCCATAACCTTAGTTGAAGTTCTCCTCAACTCAGGCCTCAATCACTATCACAGTCTTCTGACTCAGCTCATCTCCCTCTTTCTCCAATCCATTGTGTAACCTGCTACCACAGTGATCTTTCTAAAACGCTATTCTAAACAAGCCACTCCTCTACTTCAGATCTTTCGATGGCCCCTCATCACCTTCAGGACAAAATGAGTCCTGCACAATGTGGCTCTAGACTACCTCTCCTGCCTCATCCCTCACCATCCGCATAAGCTCTGCTCCAGTCAGGCCAAAGTGCTTGCAGTTTCCTGAACATGCAGCTTTGGGTCTTCATATAAGTAGTTCTTTCTGCCTGGAATTTTGCCCTTCTCACTACTCCCCCAACCACCACTACCACCACCACTCACTCACTCAGCCAACTTCAACTTACCCCTTAGGACTCAGTTTAGTTGTGATCTCTTCCAAGAAAACTTCCCTGATCCCCCAAATCTGGATTACCTATTCCTTCTCCTATGCTCCCACATACATCTTATGTTTATGCCATCACAATTATTACCATATGGAACTGAAAAGGGCTTCTGATTCCTCAGTCTCTTCAATCATGTTTTAACATCTTGGAACCCCAGTGCCTAAATACAGTGCTTGACATTGGTATTCAGAAAATGGTTGATAAATCAGTGAAGGAGTAAATAAATAAAGTGGGAAACTGAGCCTACCTGATAGGAGGGGGAGCCTTAGTCTACAAAAGAAGCAAGACTGACAGGAAGAACAGTGAGAAATATGGGACAGATTAGGGGATAAAGCAGGATCTAAGGTTCAGACCATGAACAAACTTGACAATAGGAAAAGTAAAAGCAGAAATCAGCAGGAGCTCTAACTAAGGAAGTAGATGGGGTTCCACAGTCAGCACGGCAAGCCACAGCAGAATCTCAGGGTCTGAGAGGAATAAACTTGTTCCTGCCAGAACCTATGGAATTCTCTCAAGACTAAAAAGGTACAGAGCAGAAGAGAAAATAATAAGTAGTTTAGCCTGGAATCACAGAAAAAAACCTGTGGCTAATGCCAGAATAAGCCTAGGCAGATCAAAGAGAAGATGCTGGTAGGAAGAGCCAGGAGGTACAATGGAAAAAGTTCAGCTTTTGCAATTAGGCGATTCTACCACTGACTAGCTGTGATCTTGGGCAAGCCAAGCCTTTTTTTCTCTAGGAATCTTAGATTCTTCATTGGGGAAATGGGAACATAACACCCACTTCACATAACTGTTTAAAGAAACATACAAGATATACTATACTTTGTAATCGAAAGAAACAATGTAATTGGCACCTATTATTATACATGTTGACCAGAAACATGCCTCTTTTGTCTCAAGGCATCAGTGCTTACGAATTGTTCCAGAATCCACAAGTTGTTCCAGAATCCTTGTGAAGGAGAAGAATGCATATTGATAAAGGAATGTACTCCAAGATATGAGGAACCTGCTAAGTTACCACACCCAGTGGGAGATGCTGCTGGAAAGGGCAATGCTTAATCCACAGGGATGGCACTAATGATGAACTTTAAGTAGATCAAGGCCTAGTTGGGATGGCACAGGATAATGAGTTATTTTGTCTTAGTAATTATCAGAGTATGAATGTCTTCTTGATAATATGGCTAAGGTATCATTATACTATTAGACTCGTATAGAGGTCAAGCCAGAACTACATCCGTAAGGAGTGTAGTAAGAAGTATCACCTGAATGGTGATCATCCTAGGTATGTCTCTCAAACTGGAAAAAGGAAATTTATATCCAAAGAATAGAAACTAGGTTCTCCGATCTTGGACACAAAGATGTCAGATGCCCAAAAAGGAGCTACTGGGAAAAAGTTTTCAGATTAGACCTTCCACATAGGCAAGAAGTTGCAGCTGAAAAGCAGAGGACCAGGCCACAGTAAGGGGAGTTGTGCCTACCCTTTGGGGCAAGAGACTGAGTGTCCTAGACTGAATGAGACAGACTGCTTCATGTTTCCCTTCTTCTTTGCCTAGTTCCCTATTGCTCCCTCATGGCCATTCAGACAAGTCTTCAGAACAGTGCCAACCTGCCCCAGCTGCGCTCAGGGGACTCAGAGAAAGGTCTGGGTCCAAACTTGGGCCAAGGTGTTAAAGGAGGCCTACAGCTCCCCCAGCACCCAAAAGGGAAGGGGAGATGAGAGGGTCAGAATTGGGAACACATGCCACCTATACATACCTAGAAAATTTTTCTCCACTGCTAACTCTTGTAAGGTCTAGGTTTGTTTTAATAATGAGCTAACTGATGGAATTTGTCTTATTACATGAAGCCTCCCTGATATTCTGAAAATCATACACTATTCATTCATTCCACTTTTACTAAGCACCTACTGTATGACCAACATAGGCAAAAGGGACACAGGAAAAAAAACAGAAATGACAAGTGCCCTCAGATGTCTAATGTAGATGGAGAGGAAAGATATGTGCACATAAAACCACTTAAAAAAAAAAAAGACAAAAAAAATCTGACTGTGAATCAGTGCTGAATGCACTAATACAAAACATCAGTGCTGGCAGAAAGGGGGGGTGGCCAGTAGGGCCTGTGGGTTCAGGTCAGTGGACAAGAATTCATAGAATGGGTAGAACCTAAGTTGGATCTTAAAGAAGAAGTGATATTTGAATAAAAGTCAGGAAGGGAAAATAGTACTTCAAGACTGTGTCGCAGCTTTCATTCACTGATTCATCCATTCAATGAACAATTATTGGACACCTATTCTGTGC